AAAGAATACGTTTCATTCTCCTTTTTTATACGATTTGTTCTGATTCAATACGATCGACACAAATATCAAGTGAAGAAATAAAAAAAAAAAAAGAAAAAAAAAATAGGGAGAGGAAAACAAATTTCTCATATTATTGAATGGGATAACTCGATTAGTATTATTTATCTCCCATATTATTATTTTTCGTTTCAATTAGAATTGGCTTTACGCAAGCGTATGCATGTTTTTTGTCAATAAATGAAAAGTAATAAAATCGTAAAGTACGTCTAACTAATATTAGTTTATCTCTAATTTCTGCATTTATGAACGCAACATAACGCATTTTCTTTTCAAATAATAATTTACTTTATGTAAAACACATTTTTACGTACACATTACATAATTTTTATGAAATGAGATGTATGATATCGTAAAAAAAAAAAAAAAAGAAAAAAAAGAAAAAATTGTTAAGACTTTTATACGATTTTTCATATGGTCTATTGTATTGTTTTTGCTGATTTCTTGTTTTCAAGTCTGGAAGCAATCTTTCATATATTTTCTGCAGGTATAGTATATATTTTTTACACAAATTTTTTTAAGTGTATTTTTCAACCACGTGTAAAAATAAAATTGGATGTATAGAATATTTTTCTAAATCAAGAGAGATGATATACATACATATATACGTGCATATATACACATACAATATATATATTACAAATATATACTTTGATGTGTATGTGTGTGTGTGTGTGTGTAAAAACGGGCACGTACATATTTTGATATATTAAATGATATATTATATATATTATAATATATATATTTTATAATATATATTATAATAATATATCCTATTATTTATGTCGAATTTACGATTTGATTGAAGTTCCCTTGAGCAAACTAGAGATACATTTTCTCGAAAGGGCCAAAGTAGCTATCGTTCTTGGGAGTAGTCGATGAAAATGCTTAGGTTCCAAGCGAAACGACATAATGGTTTAGCCAGCGGTGAAGATTGCAAGAGAAGGAAGACAAAGCTGCACTCTACTTTCTCTCTCTCTCTCTCTCTCTCTCTCTCTCTCTCTCTCTATCTCTCTCTCTCCCTCTCATTCTCCCATCTACTCGAAGAGAACGTTCTTCCCTTTTCGAAACTTATACTTATTATTACATTACCTCGTGCTCTAGTATAATTTCCGGCCATGGTGGAAGCCGACCAACAGAGATCGGTCGAAGAAGATGATGAGGAGGAAAAAGAGGAGGAAGAAGAAGAAGAAGAAGAAGAAGAAAAGAAGAATGAGAAGAGAAAAATAGTCGGCTTAGGAGAATGTGTTTTCTAAAGTCCTTCGCGCATAATCGCCGCCTATACGCTCGTCTCTCCTTTCCACGACTGCAGTAAGAAGAATGAGAGTGCAAAAGAGAGAAAGAGAGAGAAAGAGAGAAAGAGAGAGAGAGAGAGAGAGAGAGAAAGAAAAAGAAAGAGAGAGAGAGAGATATGCTTCTCTCACGGTGACAGGTGCATCCTCCTCTCCTCCTTTCTTCTGTCGACTCAAACAGCGAGCACAAGGCACGACGATAATGTCTTCATCTCCCGCTTTCCGCTCGCCTCTTCTCTCTCGACTACTAGTTTTTCGCGACGCGAGACTTCTTTCACGCTCGCGCGTACAGTCTTTAGCTTAATAGTTGCGCAAGCGATTGATGTCGGTAGAAGGAGAGAGGGCGGGGGAGGTAAGGTGAATAAGGGTGGAGTCATCCTCAGGCGGAATCTAACTTTAAAGTTTCATCTTTGATGTCTACTAAGTTACAATTATAATATTGTAATATTCTAAATATTACTAGATAAATCTAATTAAACAAAATATATATATATATGTTTTATTTTATATGTATATCTAGAAATATATTTTTGTGTGGATCTATGTTTACGATGCAAATATGAAATCATTCGATAATAAATTAAACAAAATCAAATGTCAAAGTTTAAACTTTCATGTCGATTAAAATATAAATATAATAATAATATTTTTAAATATTCTTTTGATATATACCTCTAATTATAAAATATATATATATATATATATATACAAATATAAATAATATATGATCTATATAATATATATATTTCATATTGGACACTAATATTTTATACTTTTCTATTTTTCTATTTTTTTAGACATAATTTCAAACATTCAACTGTACTTCTAACACTTCTAACGTGAGAAACCTTGCGTGTTCATGAATGTACTTCGAAGTTTACCAAGCTCCTTAATAAACTCAGTTCACGAAAACCATTAATAACCTAATGCCTTGACGAAGGAGGATAAGCGTAGAAAAGAGGAAAGCTAGGAACGAAGAAGAGAGAGGTGGAAACAGCCTTCCCGTTCGTGCAAAACTTTTGGAATGTTTCGAATCGAGTGGCTTCTCTCTCTCTCTCTCTCTCTCTCTCTCTCTCTCTCTCTCTCTTTCTCTTATTATACTTATTACGTTGTTATTAAGAAACTTTGTTCGAAATAGAGATGGACAAAAATGTTTAAATAATATTTACAAATACTTAACAAATTTTCTTAAAAAGAAAAAAAAAATAGAGAGAGAAAGGTAAAGGCCTATTAAAAAAAAAAAAAGAATTTCATTCAATTTTCATACAAATTCAAATATAAATAATTACATGTAAAAAATAATCGATATATATAGTCATAAAACTACAAAATTCTATTCATCTTCTAAACGTCATTTTGATGAGATTCATAAAATATTCATATTTTGTAATAACAAAAAAAATTTTCTAACTTTAGATTTGAAGATTTTCTAAATTCTATAGATAAGTGTTAACGAATCAAATCCGTTCGAAATTGAAATAAACCTTCGTAGAACATTCTATTTCTGTTTTAATTCCAAACGAACATTTATTGATCTATAAACGATGTTAACAATAATGTTGTATTAAAACATAACAAGCGCTCACATCGATTTTATTCGTAAATTTATTAAAGAAATTTTAACGAAAAGTTTTAAAGGGAAGAAAAGGGAGGGGGGGGAAAGATATCGAGAATTCGATTTCTGTCGTAGGTCGTATCATACGTACAAAAAGGACGAGATCGTAAAGTGACGGTAAAGACAGAAAGAGAGAGATGAAGAGAGAGGGAAAGAGAGAGAGAAAAAGAGAGAGAAAGAGAAAGAGAGAGAGAGAGAATGAGAGAGAGAATGAGAGAGGGAGAGAGGAAGAAAGAGAGAGAGAGAGAGAGAGAGAGAGAGAGAGGGAAATAGATAGAAAGAAAGTCGAGAGTAGTTCTAATGCGACGTATCAATATACGCGGGACCCGACTATGGTGGTGATGGGCCAATATCGCATAAGTGCCTTGATTCGCCGTCATTTGTTACGTTTTGTTCGGTCTAAGTAATTTAAGAGTCACCCCTTGCACAGAGAAAGAAAACGGGGATGGTTTCTCTCTTCGAATCTGGAAAGACAGTGGAAGACGATAGACAAGAATAAAGAAAGGAAGGGTGATAGTAGTGGTAGTAATCATAGTAGTAGTAGTGACGGTGATGGTGTTGGTGTTAGTGGTGTTGGTGTTGGTGATGCCAATGGTATTGGTATTGGTGGTGATAGTAGTAGTGGTGGTGCACTTCGCTTCCATTCTTCGGCAAATCGCAGCATATTTGTCAGATTTTTGTTGAAGAACAAAACCTCTTCCCGATCTTTCCTCCTTCCACTACCGAGACAAAAGAAAAGAGAGACGAAAGACCGAACGAAGACGTCCTGCCTCACTTAAGTGGATTGCTTTCGCTTCTCCTAACGTATACGTTAGATATAGACATACGATGTATGTATATATTGGTATATATATATATAGGTGTGTTTGAAACACGATCGTCTTAATTTGGATCTTTTGACGGCCAAGCGCTTGGTTTCGCACTTCTCGATTTATGTTTGAGACTAACACGTCAAAAAAAAAGGAAAGAAAGAGAGAGAGAGAGGAGGAGAGGGAGAGAGAGAAAGATCCATTCAAATCTCGAAATTATCCTTTGATAAGTTAAAACAGAGACATAGGAAGAATCTACTCACCCTTGAAACCCTTCTCCGGTGACGTAATCTCCATACTGGTCGCATCAGACTCAACGCTAGGCTCAGCTTCTACTGGTGCGTCAATCTGAAATGAAATATGAAGAAAATTTAAGCTTGAAATTAAATGAATTAGATAATTTGTATTTGTTAAATTATTAATTATATAAATTAATTAGATATTTGTTTTTACGTTAAGTCAACTCTTTTTCTCTTCCTTCCTTTCTTTCTTTCCTTTTTTTTTTTCTTTTTTTTTTTTATAAGATCAAATAACAATCTCAACTCGTAATGATAATCCAATAAAATCAATTACGAATTACACTCGTCATTTGGTTCATAATAGTAATCGTAGTAATTAGATGTTAAACTGAATCTTAATTAAATCACACGTAAGAATGATTAAAATCGTGAATAAATTAAAGATATATATATATATATATATATATATATATATATATATATATATATATTAGGGGGACCGGAAAGTAATGTCGTTTTCTTAAATTAAATTCAAACAAATAAATTTTTAACAAGTTTTTATTTTTAATCACAATTAAATATCGACATGCGTAGAAACGATATTACTTTCTAGTCCACTTAATATATATATATATATATAGAGAGAGAGAGAGAGAGAGAGGGAGAGAGAGAAAGAAATTCCTAGCAAAGTTTTCGGAATATAACAAAGCAAAAGAATGGAAGATGTACGTTGAATTTTAGCGATGCTCGCATAGAGGACACGTGTGAACAGCTGCCGACGGCCGTAGGAACGTCTTCCCACGCGTCTCCTTCTCGTCGATCGCGCACACGTGGGATCGAGGATGGTGCGAAGAACCCTTCTACTTGATACTACGAACAATCTCTTCGACAAACATATCTCTCACGCTTCATATCTTCAATTTATCGAAATAATATTCAATTTATCGTCTTTTTTTTTCTTTCTTTTTTCTTTTCTTTGTTTCTTTTTCTTTCTCTGTTTTGTTTTTCTTCGTTTGATAACGAACAAAATCGAATAATATTTGTCCCTAAACATGTTACGTTAAATCATTATAATTCTATTCCGGATAATTTTTCTTCTTTCGATCTCTTCGTCGATCCTTAGATCATTTTCTTTCTCTTCTTTCTTTTTTTTTTCTTTTTTCTGTTTCTTCTTCTTCTTCTTCTTCTTTTTCTCATCTTTATCTCTTCATAAGAAGAAAAGAAGAAAAAAATCGTTTCTAGGATTGTCTCACGGAGACAAAGAAAATTTGTCATAACAAGTAGCACGTAAACCGCGTAGGTGTGATTACGTCTCCGGGACCCCTTTTTCCCACAGGACTAAATATAGCGAGTGTCATACGATGGTCTGGACACACGTGTCTCCTAAGACGTTCGTATATAATCTGAGACATCTGGTCGATGTTTCCTTCTGGCCGCCTATAGTCTCGTCTACAATATGATTTATGATATTTTCGAACGATGAATTTCGTAGATTCTTTAATAGTACATTATTTCGACACTTATTTTTGTTGACTGAAAGTTAAACAAAAAAGATACAAAAAAAAAAAAAGAAAAAGAAGTAAGAAAGAAATAATCAACGATAAAAAAACGAAAAAATTAACGCGCGCACACACACACACACACACACACACACACACACACACACACATATACACATACAACCAACATAAAAAGAAAATCATTCCTCATTGTTTCTCGGACACAATCCATCGTCCATGTCGATATTTCCGAAGGATGATCCATCGATCGTTTCGAAAAGCGAAACGTAATTCTAGCGTAACTCATGTTCCAGGAAGTAGTCTATTCTCTCTCTTTCTCTCTCTCTCTCTCTCTCTCATTCTCTCTCTCTCTCTCTCGCTCTCTTTCTCTTTCTGTTGAAAGATCGAAATGTAGAAGAGAAGACGAAGAGGATGGCGAAGACGATAAAGACAAAAGATAAAGAAAGAGAAAGAGAAAAAGAAAAAGAAAGGGTAAGTTAGAGAAATAAAGAAGGAGAAAAGGAAGGAAAGAAGGAAAGAAGAAAGGAAGGAAGGAAGGAAGGAAAGAAGGAAAGAGAAAATGGATAAAGAGCGTCTACACGGTTTATAAGTCGAGTTTTGAAATGTTCGGGCAATATAGTGAGTTCGTTATGAGCCTTGCTCCGACGTGGTATGGCTCATAATTGCAGACTCCGGACTCGGAAGGCGCACCTCTCGGCACCAAAGTTAACACCGACTGACACCTATTGTCCATTGGGAAAATTCACTTGATCCACGATAAATCGATCGATCGAACGTATTTCGTGAAAATTCACGTTCTCCCTTATCTTTATGTTTCAATATCATATGATATATCGTATCGATGACGATCAATGGAAAGAAAAATTCACGAAAAAACGTATATAACAAGTTTAAAGTAATTCGACGATATGGACAAAATATTTCCCACTGGTACATGAAAATTATTAGTCCGGGAATGTCTTAATCTCTGACGGAGAGTCGAAGTCTCGCGGTCTTTGGCTTAACATAAACTTTTTGTTTTGTTTTTTATTTTCTTTTTCGATTTTTTGTTTTTGTTTCTTCTTCTCCTTCTTCTTCTTCTTCTTCTTCTTCTTCTTCTTCTTCTTACTTTTTTTGTACATTTTTTTTTCTTTTCTTCTCTTTGCTCATATATATATATATTTTTTTTTCCTACACTGACACAGAAGAAGAAGAAGAAGAAGAAGAAGAGGAGGTGGAGGAGGAGGAGGCGGAGGAGGAGGAGGAGGAGGAGGAGGAGGAGGAAGAGGAAAGAGGGGAGAAAAAGTAAGAAGAGTTCTCGAATGTTCCCGACGAGACTACGAGAAGATGAACTCGAGGAGTTCACGCGCTTACGGTATATAACCTCACTGTTTTCAAAGGAAACGATAGTATTACTCATACTTCGAGAGCACGCATACTACTGAATTAATCTATCGGTAGGAAAAAATTCGGCAAAGAAAAAGAAAAAAAAAAAAAAAATATCTTTCGGAACACGTTTACACCTATATATACATATATTTTTAAATATCTAAATCGTTTTATTATTATCGTTATTTAACGATAACCAATAATTTCTTATAAAGAACAGATTAATTACCGATATTTTGTCGGAAGAACATTGAATCTTCTTCTTATTTAAAAAAAAAAAAAGAAAGAAGATCATTATGTTTTATAATTATTAAATCTTTTTATATCTATCGTAAGAAGATTTCAAAATGACGAAAATTACGCGTTCAAATCTAATATGAAATAAAAGTCAATTGGAAGCGATAGTAAAACAAAAATAACAATAACAACAACAACAACAACAACAACAACGACAACAACAACAACAACAACAACAATAACAATAACAAGTGAGAATATGCGTATAAGGCGTTTGTATAAACCATACGAGCATATTCGAGGTCAATGAAATGAAAGCATGGTGAACGGAAGACACGCGACGACGACGACGACGACGACGAC